ATAGTATTACAGTAAACAGCATTAAAAGTGTGCTCTTTTGTACTTTAGTTATGATAATTGAYAATTATTATGAATAATTATACAATCTATTGTACTAAAAGTGTGCTCTTTTGTACTTTAGTTATGATAATTGACAATTATTATGAAGAATTATACAATCTATTGTACTAAAAGTGTGCTCTTTTGTACTTTAGTTATGATAATTGACAATTATTATGAAGAATTATACAAGCTATTGTACTAAAAGTGTGCTCTTTTGTACTTTAGTTATGATAATTGACAATTATTATGAAGAATTATACAAGCTATTGTACTAAAAGTGTGCTCTTTTGTACTTTAGTTATGATAATTGACAATTATTATGAAGAATTATACAAGCTATTGTACTAAAAGTGTGCTCTTTTGTACTTTAGTTATGATAATTGACAATTATTATGAAGAATTATACAAGCTATTGTACTAAAAGTGTGCTCTTTTGTACTTTAGTTATGATAATTGACAATTATTATGAAGAATTATACAAGCTATTATACCAAAAGTGTGCTCTTTTGTGCTTTTGTTTATATTATAATTGACAATTATAATACAGGCCCTTTGCTTAGTTCAATAAGCTACATATTATTGACCATGCATCACATAAAATTACGCAAGCATAAACATACCTTATTTTTTATCCTAAGCAGCTTTTTCTTCAAATTTGCAAGTTCTTTGGACTTCGATAATATTTGTTGCTGATGATCGACCCTCGCTATTGCTAATTCTCCTACAGRAAACCTTAGTTTCTGCGATGCTCGTGGAGTCCTTCGAGGAACACGTCTCTTCTTGCTCCCCATATAAAGTCACATCTTCCAAATGTAAATATAGGTTAACTTTATGACAAATTTTCATTCGTAAAATTATCTTACTTTGATAAATTTGACCTACAAGCTTTTTATTTACTAACATAGCYGTGGTTCTATCGTTTCGCTTTCTTTAAAAAATGAATACCTTAAAAATCCGTACTTTTTGAAGGATATGTCGATGAAAAGTCCTTCAAAACCTAAATGAACTAGTCTTGGTGATCAGCCGGCGAAAAAACCATGAAGAACTGTCAAAATATGGCGTGTAATAYCCCAAAATGAAGCTTGGAAAGAGCAGAAATCGAAATTGTGGCGGGAACAGGCATAACTAGTCACCAAGCTCCACAAAGTGTCCGAGAAAGACATGGGGAGCCCAAAATATTTGAAAATTCGCGCCGACCGCGCGAAAATTGCAAAAAAAGGACTGAAAACTAGGGACAACTGTCTTGCCCAATAAGAGGATGAATTTTCCAGCCGTGTCAGTTGATAATAACAAATTGTTTTTCAGCAGAATCTCTTTAAAAGCAACACAGAAAATAAAAGTATATCTTAGTTATACACTACATCAAAATGCTAAGGCWAAAATTGAAAGAAAATACCAATATATAGCTGTGATTTCGTGAATAAATGTTCAGTACAAAACGCGGTCGGAGCGTCAAAATGGACTACATTACAACTTTCATTGAAACTTACATTTTCCTGCAATCGCCTAACTTTTTGCTGGTCGTTCTTTATCTCTGTAAGGACACTAGCTCTTTCTTCAGCTGTTTTAAGCGCTATCTCCCGTTTCGCTCGCATATATTCACCGACTGCGAATCGCTTGAAGTGTCTCGGCATCCCTCGTGCATTAACACTCGAGCGAGCGCGCAATAGTAGAGACAGGCTGTCGTAAATGTTCAAAATTTACAATTAAGGATACGTTTTAAGGAAAACTAAAAACATACGATTCTTACCAAAGGAATGGCCAAGACAGCTACAAGAAATCCGACCGAATATACACAAAAGCGAGGAAACGTATTGAAACCGAAAAAGGGAGATTTTCGACGATTCTACATATCGACTTGAGAGCTCCTAGTTACTTCTTTATGAAAACGTCGACATATAATGTGGATACACGATTTTGGTATCAAATTAAAGCTTACTTCTAGACCGTTTTGATGGCGCTCTTTTCGTAATTGCCCGCCGAATACCCAATCTAAATTTGTACATTATTTGTAGCGCATTCCACTAGACGTCAAACTTGGCTTCAATTTTATGATAACAAACTTGAGACAGTTGACCCGGCGTGGTTTAATCAATGGTCCCAACAACCTGGCGAATCTGTGGAAACCTTTATCACAAGTCTATACAGCTTAGCTGAGCATTGCGCCTACGGAGCCCTCAGAGAGGAGATGATCAGAGATCGAATCGTAGTTGGCCTCCAAGATGGAAAATTAGCTGAAAAACTTCAACTGGATTCACAACTGACTTTAGAAAAAGCTGTTAACCAAGCTAGACAGGGTGAAGCAGTAAAGAAGCAGCAAACGGTGGTACGAGCACAGAGTGCAGCACCTGAAGTAGAGAAACCAAAAGTGAATGTTATCAACCGGCAAAGAAGAAAACAAAACAAGTCAAAACGAAGCAACTCGGATAAGACAACTGTAAACACAGATACAACCTGTGGTAGATGTGGACGTAGTAAACACCCCCAGAAAAGTTGTCCAGCCAAAGACGCAACCTTTCATCGGTGCAAGAAAAAGGGACATTTCAAAGAAATGTGCAGATCCCATAAGAAAGTTGACAACATATCTGATGATGAAGAGTCTGAAGATGAATTCCTTGGTTCCATAGCAATAGACGAGCTAAATGAAGACAACGACTGGAAAGTGCAGTTAAAGCTAGAGAATGTTCTCACCACATTCACGTTAGACACCGGAGCCGATGCAACTGTAGTCCCAAAGTGTGTATGAGAAGACTGGCAAGCAACTAAAGAAAACAGATACCAAACTGACAGGTCCAGGACAATATAATCTGCAAGTACTTGGAATGATGGAAGCTGAGATCACAGCAAGCCCAGACAATTCAACGAAACAGAAGGTCTACGTTGTCAGTGGTTTAAAGACTCCACTACTTGGACGACCCGCCATTCAAGCTTTGAAACTTCTAACCAAAGTAGAAAATGTGAATTCACCACACGCTACAACTTTTGAAAGATACTCAGACCTGTTCCATGGACTGGGAAAATTATCTGGCGAATACCACATCCAACTAAAGGACACTGCGCACCCTTATGCAGTGCACACTCCCAGAAGAATTCTAGCTTATAGAACAGCCACATTGGAGCATGGTTACTCTCCTTCCGAACTCCTGATGTCACGACACCTAAGGACAACATTTCCAACAGTTCCAGATCAACTAAAACCATCTGTTGTCGACCTCCAACGCTTCAAGGAAAAGGATGAAACATCAAATTTAGACAGAAAAGGAACTTCGATTCTCATCACGGAGCAAAGGAATTGCCACCACTGGATACAGGAAACCAGGTTTGGATACCAGATCTCCAAACTAAAGGAACTGTACAGAAAGAAGCTGCAACAAGGGGCTACTATGTGAATACAGAGAAAGGTACTGARGTTAGAAGGAACAGGAAACACCTTAATCATCTACCTGATGAAAGAAACCCTGATAAGGCAGCAGCCGGAGAACAAGCTAAAGAACAACCTAAGGCGGAAACAGCCAATGCAGATACAACCCAAAACAGGAGTGGAAGAGTGATTCAACCTCCAAAAAGATGGAGGTTGAAGAATGTTGAGACTTTGAACATTTATTTGCTTATAAACATTATTTTAACACTGATTATGTAATATTGTTTTATTGACATTATGACATTGATCATGAGATTTACATAATGTAACTTAACAGTTTGTTTGGTTMAAGTTTATTGTAAACCCGAAAGGAGGATGTCGGGATACCTGTGTTAATAAAGAAGTCACGTGACGGAACGTGTCTTATCCAAGATGGCTACCGGTACATGTATGTTATTATAGTTTAGTTATATCTAGATCCATCGACCACGCAAAACACTACAATCACTACCTCGCAGTTCGCTCTTAGCTCCGGGCTTCTCGTTTTCCTCCCATTACTTAACCACGCCCAGCTTTGAGCGGTTACATAGCAKTGAAAATGGTTTACTATATTGTTACGATGGGTGTGCTCTTTCATTTCATTCCACACGTTGATTGACACAATATTAAGGRACTAGTTCCCAGTCTCTTTTGAAACCCGGCAATATCTACGTAAAATAATCCAAGAAAATACACAATAGTCCTGTGCCCCAGAGAACTCTGGGATTGATCTCTGCAATGAATTACATGTAATAGCTATAAGATGAAATATGCAGGCAACAAAAGAAGGAGATCAAAGGACAAACATTCAAACAAGCAAAGATATCAATCTGGTGATATAATCTTGACTRTGATTATGTTTTGTTGTAACTGTGCTTAAACAAATGCAGCTAGGGACAGCGCGTCTCCCAACCAAAAATATAGCCTGGGAAATACTYACCAGGAACGCCTTGTACATTTTCATGGGATGAGTATGCCTGGGAACTAAAATTAGCTATTTGTAATTTTCGCGGGAAAATAAAGCTTTTTCTTCGTCTTGTCATAATGTCAACTGAAATAAGACGTAAAACCGCTCCTCTTCTTTACCAAAGAGAACAGCAATGGCTCTCTAGGAAATTAAGTTGGAATAAGTTTGGGAGCAATAAGACGATTTCAGAAGCTGATCCCCAACGATGGGAGATCCCCAACGATGTAATATTGTAATATTTATARACATTTTTKGGGGGATGTCAAATTTTTACTGTATTCAAGAGGGGGGTTGCTAAAAATATTAATTAAAATCTTAATTACTAATGGAAAGCAAGGTTTAAATTGTAGAGGTTTCAATTTACGGATTAAATGCCATATTAGTTTATAGAGAACATGGTAWRAGACAACAAGTAACTTATTAGTGTGTTTTTTATAATAATCATCATTAATATCATCGTCAACTTCATCATCATCATCAGTGTCATAATTGTCATTTGTCGAGCGTGTTTTCGAAAGCTAAAGAGACGACAACAACTATACGAAGAGCTAAAAAGCCTAGAAGAACTACTGACACAGAAAACTTTAAACTCTAACGAACAAGCTTCTCGCAAAAGAATCCGTCGATAACTTGTTGAATAATATCTGGGTCATCTACATCAACCAGAGAAATGGCTGGTATTCCCAGGTTATTAAGCCTGTCCGTCTGGTCTTTCATCAATGCTGTGAGGGGAGAAATGACGAGCATCAAACTTGAAGCTCGAGGCTTCTCATTCACGATGTCAGAAACTATCGGTAAACACTGAAAAATTAAGGATTTTCCGTATCCTGTCGGTAGATTGACGAAAACATTCTTCTCCTCAAAGAAAGCTTTGATACTCTGTTTTTGTTCGGGCAGAAGGTCGATCTCAAACTGTCTTTCAACTTCTTGGTATGCTTCTTCGAGCGCCATTTTGTAAACGTGTCATGTCCCTGCAGCTTCGCGCGACGGTGTTTGTTGTGACAGGTCATTAGCCAATCACCGATCGTGTTAGAATTCGAATTGGTAACAGCCAATCAGAAATCGCTTCATATAWCGTTGCTAGTCCGYTGGGGGTCGGAACAAGCTTTTCRACGCTGTTTCACAGACGGACTTAACCGAAAGTTTGTCCGGATGTGACGCAGGCTAGGCATGAGCTAGCAAYATATAAAATAAACTTGGATGCATGGAAGCAGTATGCACATACATACTCTTGAGAGATGAAACGCTTCCATTTACGGGCTTTATGTTTATGTTATAATTCATGAATTTTACGAGAAAATTGAAGCAACAAGTAAACGTGTTTAACTACTGTTMTGCGATTTATGATTTTTATATGATATAAAATCATGTATCGTGGATCGTGAATTCTCTTAACAGTCTTAAGGGAGACGTGATCACTATTTGCCCTAATACAGTTGWCAATATAGCGAGAGTGATGGAAAGGCACAGAAGAAACTTTACCATTGATAAAGTAAGGGCTGTCCTTTTTGTGGTAAACGTCGGGAAAAACAATGATGAGAGCACTTTTATTGGCAATTGGAAAAGGCCGGGAAATCACTGGGTGGTCGTCTATGCCGATATTACACCAAAAACAGTGTTATACTGTGACAGTTCAGCGTGGTCACCACCTCAGGAACTGTTAGATATGRTTAACAGYTATACACAGCACTTACCCGGAGCACCAACATTTCATCAGCGCGACCTTCAGCTTGCCCGTGTTCCTTCCCGCCGGGCAGCCGGTAGAGTCCACCTTTSCACAATCCAGTGCCGAAATTATCCCGTCCAAACATGCTCCGACATATGTGGTGTAATATCTATAATAATTGCATCCTTGAAAATGAAAATGAAAATGTCCCCTCTGGAAAATCACCATCGCCACCAAAAGTAACGGTTCCCCCTGGAAACTCAGCATCGCCACCCAATGTTAAGGTCCACCCTGGAAAATCAACATCGCCACCTATAGTAACGGTTCCCCCTGGAAACTCGGCATCGCCACACAATGTTAAGGTCCCCTCTGGAAAACCACCATCGCCACCCAAAGTAACGGTTCCCCCTGGAAACTCAGCATCGCCACCCAATGTTAAAGTCCACCCTGGAAAATCAACATCACCACCTAATGTAAAGGCCCCCCCCTGGAAAACAACATCGCCACCTAATTTAAAGGCCTTCAATAGAAAATCATCATCGCCAACCAACGTAACGGTCTCCCCTGGAAACTCAGAATCGGCAACCAACACAAAGCTTCCCCCTGAGAACTCAGCATCGCCACCCAACGAAAAGCTTTCCTCTGATCAACGGGAAAAAAA